TTATAACTTTTAAGGAGTAAAATAATAATAATACATACACATATATGAACCCAATGATGCTTGATTCAAGAATTTCAATTTCATCAGAAGAATTGGATGCAGTAATGGCCAGAATTGAATGTCGTAAAGTATCGTCCGGTTCGACCTTTACTAATTGAGTTTCACTAACTCTTCTATCAAATCCGATCGGAAGGGCAGAAGGTGGAGCAAGTGAACCTATTTGATTAGTTAAATAATAATAAATTGTTAGAATCTTTGGAAAAGATGAAAAAAATATATATATGTATTACCAACTCCAACACGAAATATTGTGACATCATTTAAATTAATTAAGGTTGAACAAGGTGATAATTCAACTTTAGGTAATCCATAAAAGTATTCACGAATTTTACGCATTTGTACTTGACGACGAAATCCTTTATCTTGATAAACAACCTAATAAATGATAGGATTTTAATATTATAAAATCAACCCAATTTTTCTCAGTCAATTTACTACTTACACCTCCTGATTTTGCAAGCTTTAAAACATGTATCTTGGAATGATCACTATATAATCTTGCCATATCACTATATAATCGTTCATGACCAAGCACGATAATTATATTCACTTTAGAAATGCAAGGTTGAAATAAAAAAAATCCAAATTAATGAAATTTATACAATATTAATATACTAATGACTATATATAGATTACCATCAAACGCATCTACACAATGTTGAATAATATCGTAACCAGTATTATCTATAAGACCATTAGTATCGATAACCAAACCAGAAATTCTAGCTAGAGTAAAAATAATAAAACTTGATATATAAGTGAATTTAATAACATTTATTATTTTTAATAGAATTTTAATATATAAATTGATTAATAATTAATAATTCACTGACCATATTCATCTTTTTCAAGGCGTTTTTTAATAGAATTGGCTAATTTGGATGTTAATACTTTATAGAGTTTTACATTTTCACCGGGATCAGGATATCCATAGTAATAAACAATTGGAATCATCGATGAGCCTATAGTTGGAGCAGTCGTTGATGATGAACCAAAACCTTCTTCAACATCTAAGAGATGAGTTATCGGAGTAGCAGACAGGGTGCCAGGCATTGTAATGGAGCCCTAAAAAATCATATTATTATTATGGTTTAATGATATATTTGATTGATTATCATACAAATAAATATGATCACACTTGATTAACTTGCCTCGTTGACATCCAAATCTACATATATAGGTTGTCTTCCAAGACGAAAAGCATAACTAAGCAAAATTTTACTTAAAGAAGTTTTGCCTACATCTTCTGGTCCTACTATTATTACCTAATAAATAAATAAATAATAGATTA